AAGGAAGGAAGGAAGGAAGGAAGGAAGGAAGGAAGGAAGGAAGGAAGGAAGGAAGGAAGGAATTGGACAGCCCCAGTCCTACAATGTGTGTCAAATAGCTGGGCCTCCAGAGCATTCACTCTGAAATTATATGAATTGTTATTTTTTTTGATGCAAACACCTGCAAAGTTGAATTAACTGTATGTTAAACATGTATGTGTGTGTGTATGTGCATATGTGTGTGTGTGTATAAACAGTATATATATATATATATGGAAAATAATAATGTTTATGGTCACATGACAAATTAATCCCAAAGTACTCAAATCACATATTACCCAATTGTTACCACTGAATCACAAATTACCCAATCATATTTTGGCTTAATGGAAACCCAGCCCATGTAGCTACTTTGTGGTTTAGTGTGTTATGTGAACCCACAAAATTGGATTGAGTAAATCATTAATAAACTATGGATAAGTGTGATGTGCAAACATAGCCAAACTATTTGTGCAAAATCATCTAAGATTACTTGTAAAGAAGTTGTGTGTTTTCTCTTGCATGTTTTCTCAGAAGTAAGCCAGTTAGAGGCTTTACATTCCCAAATATTTATTGATGTTCATCCTGAATTATTTTATCTAAATGTTAATGTTCTAAGTGTCTGTCCTACTTAATTGCAGGCTCTGCTTTTTGCATAGATTTGCCTTGTTCTTGCAGTGAAGCTTATCAATACATGATAAAATGGGTGGGGGGATGTTCAGTCAGCTTGTCATACAGCCTGATGCTGATTAGGGCTGAGAGAAATGACTGGCCCAAAAACCTCTGTGCCTAAGGGAAGACTAGAATCTGAGTCTCCCCATTCCTAGTCCAGCTCCTTAACCACTATACCAGCTGTCTAATTGTTCTGTCTAAATAATTTCTCTAAATACTTGTCAATATTCTCCATTCATAGGTAATTTTCAGGTGGTGGAAAATTTCTCTTCGGAGTGAATTCCGTGAAGCAAAACCTGGAGAACTCAAAGAATCTCATGAAGATTTCTTGGATGACCCCTCCCTCCAAAGTAGAATACTGTGAATGTAGTCTTAGCTCAAAGAGCGTACTAATCTTTGAAGAAAATGAATGTTTGAAAAAAATGTGATAAGTCCTATCTTTAATAGTTATATATAAAACTAAGCTTTTCAGTTCTGGAACAATATCTTATTTTCATGACAAAATGTGAAGGCATAATATAGTGCTTAATAATCTGACCTCTTCTTCAAAAAAAAGTGTTAAAATTGAGGCTAAATATCCATTATTTGTGGCATGGGGAATAACCTTATAGATTCCTATTCAGCCACTTTGAACATGTAAACTCCAATTTATGTGAAAATGCATTAATAATATTCACCAACATGTGGAGGAACTAATCCTAGTTTTGAAGAGTTCCAGTGTTCTTCAAGATTCTTATTTACTGATGGCGAAAATTCCCTTATGTTACTCTCTTTAGGAAACTTAATGAAAAATAATATATTCTTGAAGTGGAAGTAGAATTTGTAGTGCTCTACAGTGCTTTGGATTTGATTCTAAAAAGTTGCTTTAGTGTGTGCTAGATGCAATCATAGCACCCATCTGCAGCTCTTTGAAACAGTCACATCTTTTCCAAGAATTGCAATCCCAAGAAAAACCTCAGCTGTTTGAGTTGCAGTCCTCATATCTCCATACACTCCAAAGCCATTTTTTTGGATTGAAAGCTGAAGTGCTGCATAGTCCTCATAATTTATTTCCCTCAAAATATGAATTTATATTCCCGATTACATTCCCCAAATGTATAGTACATTTGAAATGTGTTATATTAATTAATTTATTTATTTATATGTCAAATTTATATCACCACCCAACTCCCCCACAAGGAGGGACTCT